CCCCGGCCAACCAACCCAGCCCATGCCACCTTCATCCGTCTTCGAAACCGCCTCCCTGATCTCAGTAGCGCTGTATTCTACCCCATTACCCACTGCACTTCCTTTCTCCCCAGAAAACCAGTTCTCTATTATCTTGGCAGTTTCTTTACTTACACACCTAACACTTCCCCTCAACTTATGCAAATACCTATAAACCCTCTCCTCTTTTCCCACCTCAGCACTCACCTTTAACAGCGCTGCCATCTCTGCTTCCTCCAAACTCACATTCATCCTATCCATATGTTCCTCCACCTCGTAAGCTTTCCCATCCTCTAAATTCTCGCAAAAATACAACAACGCTGGAGAATAAGTCCGCAGACGCGGCAATCCACCATTCGCCACCAAATCTTTGATCAGAGCGAAGGCATAGTCTCCGTCCCCCTTGGCTGCGGCTAGGCGAGCAACAGATGTGATTGAGGCCTCGTTGGAGGACATCCCGGAGGACACCATGTGATCAAAAATGCGAAAGCCACGTTCAATGGCCAGAGATTTGGATGACGGATCGGTGACGGAGGCAGCGCAGATGTAGAGGAGAATACTGAAATGATGCTGATTGATACGGATGTTTTGGGAGATTCCGGAGTCATAGAGGGAAATTGCGGTAGTGAGATCTTTGGATTTGGAGCAGGATTGAAGGTTGACGAGAAGGTCGATTTCTGGATTCCTGTTCTTCTTCCTCTTCTTTCTGGAGTTGCAGTCGGTGGACGCCATGGTTGGTGAGTAGGAAAAGGAGAAACCCTACTGATAAAACCCCAGGACGACGATGGTAACTTTTGAGGGAAAGATAAAAGCTTTTTTTCTTTTTTTATTTTTATTTTTATTTTTATTTTTATTTTTATCAATTTTCTTCCATCACTTTATATTTAAATATTAAATATAATTATTCTTTTACTTTCTGTTTTATTTTATGCGGGGTAGTTATATAATTTTACATTTTCTACAAATTTTTCTAAATAATAATAAATATAAAATTTCTTTTCTTTAGATGTTTTATAAACATAATTTCTTCTAAACTTAAACTATTTTCAGATGTTAGAAATTTAAACGTTTAAAGAGTTTTTATTATTTACTTCATATTTTATTATTTAGCTACATTTTGTTATCATGAATAAATTTTACATATAATTTTTTTTAATATTATAATAAAATAAACTTGAACTAAACACATTTTTTTAAAAATTTATTTAATTTCATCAATATTTTTACTATAAATTATTAAAAGTATTATAGAAATAAACTTTAATAAAATCGCTTTCTAGGTAAAACGATATAACATTTTAGTAAAATATACTACAAAATGTGAAATTATTTTTAATTTCTTATATTTTATGAGAATAAAAAATATTATTAAAATTACTTCGATGATATTATATAGTTTTCTCAAAAAATTTTCAAATAATTAAAATTATTGAATAAAAATTACAGATATCAAAATGATAAACAAAAAATTATGAGAATGAAAAATATTATTAAAATTACTTCAATGATATTATATATTTTTTTCGAAAAAAAATTTCAAATAATTAAAATTGTTGAACAAATTGAAATAATCCATTAGTTTTGATGAATGACAAAAACTTATTTTCCTATGAATGATGTCATTTGAGTTGTTGAATTAGTATGAAAAACTTGAATAAAGTAAACCGAATAAACATAGAAAAGACATCAACGACAAAACAATATTGAAAGATAAATAGTAAAATGATTCTTGTTTTTCTTCCTTTTCTTGCTAGATTTTGAGGGACTCTCGTTTCAGTTGTGGGAGTGGAAGTTACTGGTGGCTATGGTCACTGAGTACGAAGGAAAAACTCCACCTACGTGCGATATAAAATCCCAGGACGTCGATGGTAAATTTTTGTTATATTTTATTATTATGAATAAATTTTACATATAAAAAAATAGATATGATAATAAAATAAACTTGAACCAAACACATTATAAAATTTATTTAATTCGATTAATATTTGTATTATAAGTTATTGAAAGTATTATATAAATAAGTTTTAATAAAAAAATTCGAGATAAAATAATATAACAGTTTAGTTGTAACAACTCAGAAAATATAAAAAAAAAGGGATAACGTTGACTCATTTTGGGAAAACCCCAAAACCACGCCGTTTTGGGTAAGAAAAAACAAATTAATTAGAGGCTTGTTCGCCACTAGTCGGGGAGGAAGACGAAGAAGAGGCGTGTACGCCTCTTCTCTTCACCGAAGAAGAAAGATGAAGAGCTGTATAGGGCTCTTCTCTCTCTACTATAAATC